GGGAGCAGTGAGTAGACTGAAATGCGATGGTGAGGCGGAGCAGATATTTGAAGTGAAGCAACAATCCAAGGCAAGATGGGACCAAGCACTTTTTCCAAGAACAGCGGATGAAACGAAGGCTGGAGTATTGTAAGCATATGCGAGAACTGGTGAAGTTAGTATGAAAAATCAAACCTGCGAGTGTCGTATAATACCTCAAGGCTCAAGAAAACGAGTCGATGAATACTCGAGTTTGCTGGGAGTAAGGATGATTGAGAAAGGAAGTCTAAGAGGCCGAGTCGCCAAAGTAACGTCAAGAAGGAAAGTCCTTTGACGCGAAGGTGACTTGAAGAGAAAAAAACCAACTGACTACGCGGTGGGAAGGCGCGTTGGGTTGAGCAGCTGGGAAGGAACGACGTTGAGGTTGTTACACGTGACGTGGCTCTTGGTGATGCTCGGTACGGTGAGCTGAGCGTGCAAGAAGGCGCAGACCCGGAGATTGGGAGTACTAAACAAGAAAGAACTAGGAAAGCAAAGCAATTGAGAGGAAGCAGAGCAGCTACTTGACACGCCTGGAAGGGGGTTCTATACCTATACAGACGTATCGACACTGGGGGGTCGCGAGTTCTTGCGCTGGTATCCGGATCAGCATATATTGACCAAACTCTTTTCAGCCATGTTTGACGACGACACACAGTGTGATGTGCTCCAACACTATTCATACGAGACAGAAGGCAAATGGAGCCTAGAACCTGCCGTCCTCATCCCAGCGTCGTGCCAGTGGCGTTCATAGTGAGAGTGGCAAGGAGGTTTTATTATATCGAGAGGCTCGAATAGGGGAAGAGAAACACAAGGTATGTTTAGGAAGCTCTCGATATTGTCGTTGACAGAAGAGAATGACGGTAATAGCTGGCCATGTCCCAAAGACCTTTACGATTGATATGAATGGTAGAAATAGGGGCTCATATGTGACTCAAGATGCGCCTTGGCCCAAAGACAAGAACACATAAGGAGCCATTCAATAAGAGAATTTAGAGCTTGAGAAGCCGAGGGCCGGTGCCATCGTGCAGTTAGTTGAGCATGCCATAGCTGTCAGTGGAGAAACAGCATTGATGTTGCTTGCAGGTCCATCACAGAGCCCAACCAACTAACGAATGGCAGTTGGCCTGTGTGTTTGTCGGACGGCTGTGAGGCCCAAGACACATCGTAGGGAGGCAAGAAAGGGTTGACTAGCATCATCCCAGGTAGCATGACTTCCCAGATAACCGTTACAGAACCGAGTCCTTGTGGGTGGGGGGTTGAAGCCATCGCGGGCTTATCATCGCAAGTCCTTATCGGCGTTGGTCGGTCGTCGGGGGCGTGACACAGACCCGTAGCAACCTGAAGCTGGAACTTGGCGTGTGGGGTGTCCCAACGTACCTGCTGTACTGTACGTCCAACGCGCAAGTCATTGGCCAATGGACGCGACACCAGCCACATGGAGGCTAGGGGCTTACGCCACAAGCCAGCTGAGCTGCGCTGATTAGACCGACAGACAGGGGCACTGCCAAGGAATTCTAAACACATTTGTTGGCAGGTACTAATTATGTAGGTGCTCCGTTCCTTCCTTTGGTGCTGTCGTGGGTGGCCTCTGCTCCTGCCTCCAGAGTCGGACACCGACGACGTTTGGTTCACTGTCTTGCGTGCGTTCCTTCCCGACTTGACTCGATTCGATTCCTATTTTGGGCTGTGGCGCGTTCCTACCTAAACAATCAAAAAGTCTCGCACTCGGCCCGCACCCGCACGCAGTCTTGTCTTGCTTGCCCCCTTCTCTTCTCTCCTTCTCGTTCCCCATCCAAAGAAAGCCAAAATACCCTTTTAATCTTAGCAACCGCGTTTCCCAGCTCTCGCTTCGCTTCGCCTCGCGTCTGCCATCCCTCCCCATCGTCCTTCGAACACACACGAGCCCGCAGCAGGCCCTGCAGATGCTCGTTGCCCATCAACCATGGCATTGCTGACCAAGGGTGGTCGGTTCATGCTGCCGCGACCCTCCCCAACGTCGACCCGGTGGATCGGAACGCGTGGCTGCCGCGGTTCTTGGCCGCTGCTGTCAGCAACGGCAAACACGGCATCGACACCGTCAGCGCGGCCATCGTCGCTGGCCTGGACGCCCGCCCTTCACTTCTCCACAAATCCGTCAAGGCGGTCCGGTATGTTCGGTTGCGCATGTCTTTCCTTCTCAATCGGTCCCAAATATCCTCGCCCCCGTCCGATTGGTGCACTGTTTCCCCTCGCCTTGCCTAGTCCCTGTCCGGCTGCATGAACGAGACCCGACATGTGCGGCACCGCGAGGCTAGGCGTGAGATTCTCGCGCTTTGCAGATGCTGCCGACAGGGCTCTGTGGTGCGGATGACCCGGAACTGCAGGCCAACGTGCAGCTTGTCAGCTTACGCACAGCCGTGTCTCGAGGGTTGGAGTACCTGAAGCTGTGATTGATGCTGCTGAGCTGCATCGACGACGACGAGCATGCTGTTGAAGTGCCCCGGAACAAGGCCTTCATGTTGACCCCTCGGCAAGAATCGGCATATTGCGAGAGCCGCGCATAAGCCACGCTCTCCTCTCGGCATGCTAGGCCACCCGCCACCTGGCAGGGCGAAGCCATTGCAAGTCTTGGAATGAACTTTGGCTGAACTGGGACCCATCGCGGACCCAAGCATGATGATGGGCGCCCTCGGCCCTCGTGTCCAGCTCAGCTCATTCCACTCTTACGGGACGTTTCTTCACCAGACGACATAATCGCGAGGGCCTCGGCTCCCTCCATGCATTCAAAACATCTCATCTGCCTCCAACTCTGTTCCTCGCATCATCATATTCAAACATCGGGAACACGAACGTGGCTGACCCCCTCCTGCAGACCAAGGACAGTCTAGCTCCAAACCGGAGCCTGCTCCGAAATTCCAAGATGCCGGCGACAGCCTCCCCAAGAAGATGCTCGAGTCCGCTGCGACCTCGTTCGCCTCGATAGTCGTCCTCGCCGCCGGCTTCGCCATAGCAGGCTACGCCTACCACAAGACGTACAAGCGCATCGTTTTGAAGAAGATGACGCGCGCCTTCACCCCCGGTGACCCCGTCCTCGAGCTCGCCGCCATTGGCAAGGAGGTGCCACAGACCTCCGCCGAGGCTGACGACCGTTGGGTGCAGCGGCCGGAGCAGTCGCGCATCGACAGGATCGTCGACGGTTCCGAGGTCGGCCATTACTTTTTGATCATGGGCGAGAAGGGCACGGGCAAGAGCAGCATGCTGATCGAGGCTATGCGCAAGATTGACGGCGACGGCGTCGCCATGTTCGAGGCCCACGCAGACCTGGAGATTGTGCGCATCCGTCTCGGCAAGGCCCTCGACTTCGAGTTCCACGAGGACTACATCGGCGGCTACTTTAGCGAGCGCGGGCCCCGCGACACCACGGCCCTACTCGACATCGAACGCGCCCTCAACAAGCTCGAGAAGGTGGCCGTTGTCAACCGCGCCACGCGCAAGAAGCCGCTGGTCGTCATCATCAACCAGATGCACCTGATCCGCGACGACGACGACGGCAAGGATCTCATCGAGCTTCTCCAGCAGCGCGCCGAGCAGTGGGCGGCCTCGAACCTCGTGACCATGGTCTTCAACACGGACGACTACTGGGTGTACGAGCGGTTCAAGCAGCTAGCCACGAGGATGGAGGTCATGCCGGTACACGACCTGCCCAAGCGTCAGGCCATCGCGGCGCTCGCCAAGTACCGCGTCAAGTACTTCAATGAGAAGCTGAGCCAGACGAAGCTGGAGGAGGTGTATGACCTTGTCGGCGGCAGGCTGTCGTTCCTGAACCGCGTCGCCAAGAGTCGCGATATGATTGCTACGTGCAAGGCCATCTGCCAGGTCGAGAAGACGTGGTTCCTCAACCAGTGCTGGATCCTCGGGTCCGAGATGGACGACGACGTGATGGACCAGCAGAAGTGGGCGGTATGTGTCACCCCTGAACCCAACCAGATGCCTCTTCCGCAAGCGCTCCTCTAGTAGGCGTTGCAATCGTGGGAGCGAGAATGCCAACTAACAACCGTCAGGCTGCCGCCATGGTCCTCGCGCAGGCGCTCGTGGACAGCGAAGAGGACATGGAGCTCTGGGACGAAGTCAAGGGCCACGTGCTGCCCTCGTTCCCGATGCACAAGGCGCAGGAGATCATGACGCGCGCCGACTTCATCCGCGACATGGACCGGCTCAACCTCTTCACCATTTCCGCCGACGCCGAGGTGCGCGCCTCGTCGGTGCCCATGCACCGCGCCTTTCAGGAGATTTGTGCCGAGAAGGGCTTCAGGGAGCACCTGGAGAAGACGATCCAGCGTATCAGCGACATCGAGTCGCTCGGCCGCACGCGTGAGTTGGTGGCCAAGGATCTCGTCCTGGGCGGCAAGTACGAGATCCTCCGCGAGGGCAGGAATGGGGTTACGGTCAAGCTTGTCGGGGATGAGGGCGATGACTAGGGGGAGGTACACTACTACTACTACTACGACGCCCCCACCCGGTCGCATGCATAAGGGAACAATGACGGCACCCTCGCATCTCGCTTCTTGCATAGTCCTTGACCCAACGCCGATTTGGGCTCGGGGCTTTGTCGGTGGGAGAAAAGCCGAGGCGGAGGCTGGGATGGGAATCCTCCCTCCGCGATGAGATAAGGGACATGCAAGATCAGATTCGTAGTGGGGGATCACCCCTCCCGTTTCCCTTTCGATGATTCATTTGGTTTCATTCAGCTTGGCCACTGCTGCTAGGGATCGGGTGGGGGTCGACCCCATGAAGATCGGGCATAGCCACTACGTGGATATATCTACCTATTGGCTGCTGACCTGGAGCTGCTCACATGGCACGAGGCAGGATTGAAGCTTGGAGAAGGAGGCATTAGATGAAGATGGGATGACGTGTGCTTGACAGATACGTGTCGACCGCTGGATTGGCGAGACCTCTGGCATGGCTGTACGATTGTAAGGATTGCGCTGCTCTTTTTGGTGAGGAGGACAAACGGCGTGGCTGAGAAGGCCGGAGAAAGTGATTACGAGTTCAGATACTCCGTATCGCCTCACTCGCTATCTCTCAAAATTGTAAAGATAGAAAACCGGGTGGAGAGAGGAGAGAGAGGAGAAATGGGGGGGGGGGGGGCGCTGCCAGCTTCAGGTGATGTTACCCTCCATCCTTGATGTACGATCGATCAATAATTTCCAGCAAATCAAAGCTTATATCCGTACACCTGGTGAGGTTTCCTTTATTGCGTCTTTTATTTGTTGCGTCGCCGCCGCCCACATCCTTCACCGCTGGCATCCATCCGTCTGTCTCTATTCGTGCCGCCGCCCCAGTCTGCTCCCGCAGAAGCCGACTTTCCCGAACCCGCCGGGAAGCGCCGACTCCTCCCCTCTCCGGCCGATTTCCTCGGTAGATCCCCCGTCAAGGCCATTTTCCTTCTTTTTTCCTTCTTTTTTTCTGCTTCGGTGGCATCTTTGGCAGGGGCCGACCCTGCAACGACATGAAAAGCTAATGCGCCCCGCATTTCTCTCTCTCTCTCTCTCTCTCTCTGTCTTGCCCACTCCTCTCACTTCATATCCCGTCGTCATCGTCGCCGTCTCCCAGCATCTACACGTGTAATCAGTGGAAGCGAAAAATAAAAGAGCACAAACATTTACCTGCCGCTCACACCGCTGCGGGAGCCCAAGGGCCAAGGGGGACCAAAAAACGCATTGCACAAACACCATATCCCCCCCGGTTCACCCGTGCACGGATGATGGCGACAGTCTGCGAGGCAGGGATACATCGCGTCCGTTTCCCATGCGACCGACACACAGGCAAGAACGCGCACGTCGCCAGATAGTCTATAGACGATCAAAGATTTGGGCGGCAACTCGCCAAGACCGTTCCCTCGGGTTTGAACTTCCTGCATACGTGCACATGTGCTACGCCGAGGCAAACGAAGGTAGGCCAGGCATACAAGTAAATATACTACACACCAAGGGGCCGTCCAGCTGGTTCAGTCAACTACATAGTACTATATAAGTAGAGAGAGAATGCCTGTTCATGGGGGCAGCCCCTTCGCATTAGTATGGCCGAAATGGCGACAGGGGACGGGGGGGGGCCGTCATGTCTTTCGGCCAAAATGGTTCTGAAGGAGGGGTCCGCTGCCATACAACGGGGTGGGGGGGGGGCTGCCTCCCTCCTTTTACAGTCCAAGTTTGGACTCCTCGCTAAATAGTAGACGATCGGTTTGTCCCCATCTCCCTGCAGAATCTCCCCAGTGGCCCAAACCCACAGTTGATCCCCCCCTCATCCCCGAAGCGAAGCCCATCGGCAAAGAAGTACCAGACGTACCAGATGTACCAGATGTACCAGATGTACTGCCATGTATCCCTCCCGCTTCTCTCTCTCTCTCTCTCTCTCTTCTCCTCAAGAGAGACCGCCTTGTATCCGTACCTCAGTAAAAGAAAAAAAAAAAAAAAAAAAAAAAGGAAAGACGGGAGAGAACGCGGGCGACCAATACGGTCCTCTCATGGCGGCCTAAGACAGATAGATAGGGATCTTCGCTGCATCTGTCGTTGCTTTCGTCCAACCGTACAGTACCCGGGGATGTGACAGTTCGTTATGACCAACCAAAGTCGTACGGGGGGGGGGGGGGGGGGGGAGTAAATCCGTTCATGACGGCGGGTTTGGTCAGCGAGAGAGATACTCCCCCCTCCCCTTCACAGCGAAAGAGTAAGAATTTCCGAGGGCAAGCTTACCCAAGTCAAGTCAACTACGAATCTGACGACGTTGCCCGTCTGCAGCGATATTCCCAAACAGTCGTGGTAGCCCCCCCTCCTCTCCCTCGGACGAACGTGTGCTTCGTGCAGCGGACGGGTTTCGACGGACCAACGGGCTCACTCACCCAACGCCCCTGAAAGGTTATCCGTACGCTCGACTGCGAGAGGCGATCAAAATTTAAAGCAAGGTATATATCGCAGCGTGAGAAGAGAGGCGCAACCAGCGCGGCGTGTATTGTGTTGCGACCATTCTCCTCCAAACAAAATAATTGTCCGCCGGAAATGGCAAGACTTTCTAAGATACATCCCATGTTTTCTCCCGTGACCATGCTCCCCTCCCCCCCCTTCCCCCTCCCTCTCCCCGAGATCTTTTCGCTAGGAAAGTAGATCAGATCATGCCCAGGTTTGCTAGTAATCAAATCGGACGCTGCCCGAAGCCTCCCAATCCCGAGACGTCCCGTTCCCTGTCTGCCCCAATTACCCGAAAAAGCGTGAAGGAGCCACGCGCAAAAAGCCAACCCGCCCGAGTAAAGTAAGAAACGCCGCGAATGTGAGTACCGAGTTGCATAGAGAAAAAGAAAAAAGAAAAAGAAACAAGGAAGCAGAAGAAGAAAAAAAGGGGGGGGGGGATGAAAAAAGAAAAGTAACAAGTTCACATGCATGTTCCTCTCAACCGCAAGCTGTGACCATCCATGCTGTTGTGAACAACCACACCCGGCCCGGACCCCGAGGGCCTTCATCCGAGATGTCCTCTCCCCCCCGGGCACATGTCGTTGCCTCCGTTACGAATCCCGTCCGAGAACTCCAACAACACGACTGCCAGCCCGGGTGGACTGTAGAAAGCATGAATAATAAACCAACGACAGAATACAACACGCGGATTTACCCGACGGGAAAGTAAAAAAAAAAAAAAAAAAAAAAAAAAAAAGATGGTTCCGATGCTGAAAAAGAGACGGTATCAGCAGATGAAGGGTCGCGAGTCCATCCCCCCGCCCTCTGAGCAGCTCACGTGCACAGAAAGTCAAGGCCGAGTCTCCTGGCCACGCTTTGCCAGTCCCAAACGGATAGCCAATCGCCTACATCCATCAGGTACCAGACCTCTTCGAGCACCTCAAGTGCCCGGTCGCAGTTGCGGAGACCAGTGTAGCCCCGGACCGACCGGATGATGGCGCGGAGCCGCTCCTGCTGCGCCGGGTCAAAGCACGTGGTGCCGATGACCACGCTTGGCATCAACAGGAGCGTCAGCGCGGGATCGGATGGCTTGAAGCCCTCCATGATGGCCAGAGACTCCTCGACCGTAGACGTGATGCGGTTGTCGTGCTGCAGAGGACGGCGGATCGGGGGTGGAGACGCCGGCCGTTGTTCGTCAATGACGGCGCAGCTGGAGGACCCGGCGTCGGACTCATGCATCGAGCTCGTCCTCGACGGGCCCCTAGAACTAGGCTCGCGCTTGAGCTGCATCGACGACGGGAAACCGCCCGCCGTGGTGGGGCGGAGGCCGGGAGACGAGGCGCAGCTCGTAGCGGTAGAAGGTCGAGAGATTTGCGAATGGCGGCGGGACGAAGATGACGAAATGGAGGTCGCTATAGAGGTCGCCACCGAGAAGACCGACGGGCGTCTCTGGGGGGACGTGGGTGGGTAAATAGTACGGAATAGATGAAGGAACATCATGTGCTTGTAGACCAGGCCTACCCGGTGCCGGCTATCGCCCGGCGGCCAGGTCGGCATCCATTGCTCGATGGCCTCCTGGATCTCCTGTGCCTGATACAGGATGTGATACGTTACCACGGTTTCGGAGCCCTTGTAGATGTTCTCCCTGATCGTATTCCGGATCGTTGTAATGTGGCAAAGATACTGGAACAGGCCGTCGGCGACGCCTATGAGCCTGGGTGAATCGAGGGGAACCAGAGAGGTCCAGTCTGCCGAGGCCAGGCGCGGGTAATTACTTGTGGGGTGCCACAAGAGCTCATCTGCGTAGATGTGATACTGGAAGAACTCGGCGATGAAGGCCAAGAAGATGGGATCCTCGGGGGGCGACTCCTGGATAAGTCGCTTGTAGCCACCGAGGTGGACTCGGTGAGCGCCGTGCGGTTCGCCCTCGATCAGTGTGGTGACGACTAGGCAGAGGATCTGGGCGTAACGCGCGGAAAGGATCGTCGTCTTGTCGACCCCATCGTCCTCCTCGGTGCGGTTCATGTCGGCGTACAGCGTCTTCATTGCTTGCTCTTCGTGATACGCCGACCTTTCCTGCAGGGCCTCGCGGTTGGTCGTCGGGTTCTTCTCCAGGAGTTTTGCGCCATACGGCGTGTCAAAGTCGATATGTTTACTGCTCATGGCGAGAATGGAGTGCATGACGCCCTGGTGGAGGTTTGCCAAAGGCAGGATAATGTCTTTGAAGGCGTTCCTGGCCTCCCCTTCGACGGTGAGGACATTGCTAAGATGTACCCCGTAATGCCGCCAAAAGATTTTGTCCTCGACCGTGTCGACGCCGTTGAACAGTGGTTGCATGGTAAAGACAAGGGACTCCTCGTCTACGGTGTGATCTTTGGGTTATTAGTCAGACAATACGCGTACGGCACATACACCAGGTTGAGAGGCAGAGAGGGACTCACCGGTCGTCGCCTTTTCTTTTCCGCTTCTCCAGAGTTTCTTCTCCTGATAACCCTCGCACACGACGGCGTTCTTCTCGCAGTTCATACCTATCGCAAGAGCCGGGTTAGGTGCGCCCCTACTTCGTATCTCGAACACTGGACCTACATCTCGGCTTCGCCTCGTCGCACTTCTTCTTTCGTCTTCGGCAGGTGATACACCCTGTTTTAGAACGGCCCTTGGTGACCTTGCTCGGGTTAATGATGGGCGCCACGGGGTGTTTGCGAGGCCGTCCACGGGGGCGTTTCTGTTTCGGCTGGGTTGCGGATGCGATCAGAGATGCTTGTGCTGGCGTTAAGGGTGCCTCCTTCAGATCGTCGAGATTGAAATCGTCGTCCGTGGGCTCGAGTTTGGGTACGGTGAGGATGTCATCCGAGTCCTGTTCCCACACAATGTCGTTGTCAGCGTCGTCCCCGTCACAGGTCTCGGCGTGGCCGGTGCTCCAGGAGTCAGTGCAAGACGAGGATGCGGAGTGTACCATTGTCGGAGCGCAGGATGGATCCATGTTTGCAATGTCCATGCCGGTACTGACGGGAGACAAGGGGCCAGCGTGAGAGTGAGAGTGGGAGTGAGAGAAGTTGGTGGACGTCATCCAAGCGGCTGCCGCTTGGGAAGCGGGCGAGTGCGGTAGGAGCATATCGTCTTGCATGTTGTCGTCATACATGTTGTCGTCTGATGAGTTGCTGCGATTATCCGACCACGAAAGAGCCCCTTCGTCCGACAAGGTTGATAAGGCAGTGAGTTCCATGGCTCGTCAATAGCGAGACCATGCCAATAGGGAATGGTCAAAATGGAGGTTGATGTGCCCGACCCTTAAAGATACAAGTCGGGGAAGAACAAGTGGCGGCGCGCTGGGGTTTCGACGGTTGTTGGACTGTCGATCAGATATCAAAGGCGGGAGGACGCCATGGGGCGGAATGCCAACGAGGTCGAAGTGGGGCAACGGACGGCAACAGCAAGCCTTCTTGAGGACAAGTGGTCGTGGCCTCTAGTCAGACTGAGATAACGGTTGATGGAGAGGAGAGAGTGTGTGAGTGATGGAGAGGATCAAGACTGGCTGCGAGGAGAGGCTCAAGAAGAAGGAGAAAAGGGTAGATCGACGGAGAGCCGACGCGGAATGGAGGGGCTCAGATGGGTGGATAGATGATCGCTGGGTCTTATTTGGAACGCAGCTTGGCCGTCGACGCCAAGTGGGAAGGGACGGAGGGTCGTTGGACGGCAGAACATGGGGCCTGGCGGCTTCGAGGGGGCGGGATATGTCTGCAGATAGCTGCGCTGCCAGTGGGCAGGACATCGGGACATCGGGACATCGACAGGGTTTAGAGGCGAGCGAGAGCGAGAGAAGACGTGCAGAGAATCGATGCTCTTCCCATGTGCATGCACTAAGAGGTCCCCTAGCATCTTAGTGTAGCTCCCCACATGCAAGGTGTACATGGGAGAAGGTGTACATGGGAGGGAACACTACTTGCGAATGGGGGGGAGTCTTGTTTCCCATACGATGATGGGCGGTACATGGGGCGGATAAGGACGGATGGGTGTGTGGGATGGATGGGATGCGAGTTGAGGTCTCACGTCGTACCGAGTATGCCAAGACCATATAAGAGAGAGAAAGAGAGAGAGGCATGCTTGATGCTGGTCAGGCCAGGCCTCCTCCTCTCGCACCTCCGCCCTCCAGAGAACACAGCATCTAGTGGTAATGCCGTGGGTTTCCCGTCGTGTGCCGTGCGTGTATCCGTACCGTGGGCCAGACCATGGCGAAGACAGAGCCCGGTAGCTATCGTATATCGAAAAATAAAGAGCAGGGCCACGACGGAGTTGCTGTCCGCTCGGCTGCCGTCCATGGTGGATGGCATGTGGGGTTTGTCTCTTGTCGGCACTGTCTATCCACTCTTGGTGATGGTGCGGTCAGTTTTATTTTTTCACCATTGCAGTTACGAATGAGGAGACCAGCGGAAGACAGACCAGACCAGACCAGACCAGACCAGGCAAGGCAAAGACTCTGAATATGTGTGGTGCATCTTGCCGTTGTCCCTGTTTGCTCCTCTCTCTGTCTCTCTCTTTCGTGTTCTTACACACACACACACACACACACACATCCGTCCTCCCTGGTCCTCCTCGTCTTCCTCCTCCACATCCCTTGACTCTTCTGGGGCCCTTGCCCATCCATCAGCCCTGGTCGCTGCTAGCGTGGTGTGGCCGACCACCCCTGCCCGTCCAAGTGAAGTACTCTCAAGTAATGAAAGCCACTAACCGCGCAGGATAGCATCCTCACGATGGCTCAGAGTATTTGAACTCGCAATCGTAGGATTCGGTGGTGTTGTATTAACAAGGGCCAATCTGGCCAAAAATTGAACATGAAAAATCAAATGAAAATACGTATGGACTGTAGGCACACCCTCGAAAGCAAGCCATGCTTGACAACAAAGTATCGCGGCGTGGAGACTCCACCACGACAGAAATGTGAGCACGACAACCCCAGGGTTAGTGTAAGAAAGATAGGCTTGGTGAGAGGACTGGACAGTAGAAGGGCCCCGTTCGTCAGAATCGACGATGATGAAACGCAGAGATGAGCAAGTGGCCGATCGCCCATCGGCGACTCATGAGTCGTGCTCCGGGCAAAAGCGGACGGGCCTGTGGCCAGGAGCAGAATGAAGCCGTTGCGCCAACGCGCAGGGGGTAGGCGGATGGACTGGTGGTGCGGCGTCGTCTCTCAAATGAGCGAGTGTACTGTAGGTAAAGAGGCCAGGCCGGGACTGTGCCAGACAGACAAGGATGGTCGGGAATCGCGTCGTGTTTTGTCGAGAATAGTGTGGAGGAAAGGAGGGGAGTTATGGCGGAACCCGGAGATGGGCAACGGGGCTTCAGCGCCATCGCATCGTCTTTTGTCTATGAATGGCTGTTGCTCATGCTCGAATGGACGAGTCGCCAATCAAACGGTTCGGCTCACGGTAGCTCGGCGTGCCCCATAGTGTAGACGGCCTCCGTTTTTGGAGAGGGGGCAGACGGCGAGTCAACGTTGGTCGGTACTTGGTCTTGGCTGTTGGAACAGCGGTGCGCCGACGGAGGTCGACTGTACCATGATATCATGGTGGGTGGGGAGACGGAGGGGTCTTGCTTATTAGGCCTGTCAGTGCATATGCAGGAGGCTACATTGGGAGAAACGGCTGCCTCTAGTTTTGTTTCTGACCTTAGTCAAGAGACGGGCAACAACCTCTCGGCGAATTAGCACAAGCCAGTCCATGTACCTGGCCAGGCTGGTGTTGAGAGTGGAAAAGTTGGATAATGGGTGGGTGGGATGGCGCCGCATAGGGTGTGCACTGGACGGGCGGTGGACCTCGAGCCGCAGCCTCCGTAGACATGTGTTTTTCCTGCCTCGTCGCGCCAACTGCCGCGTCGCACATGAAGAGAGGGAGAAGGGGGGAAAAGGGAAATCGGGAGGGGATGGAGTTCGTGAGGGCGATGACTTGACCCGTATTATTACGAAGCATGGTAGGGACCAACCACGGCAGGGCGAGCGCCCAGGGGATTTAGTTGGACTAAGTGTCGCAAGTACCTGGTCTCTGCAGGACTGATTCAAACCTTTGGGCAGAGACACATACATGGCCGGCATGGTGGAGTTGCGCGTTGCGTAAGTAAGGTGAGGGAGTGAGCGGTGCATCGCGATGCGAGCAATTCCCATCTGACTGGTTGAGTTGAGGGCAGGATTCGCCTCGATGAAACCTGAAACTTTGCCGGGATGGATTCTCTCCTTTTTGTGCCTTCTTCCACCTTTCCCACTGCGCTGTCACCGCGTCGTGCCGAGTTGTCTGCAATGCGAAGGCGGTGGGCTGGGCTGGGCAGGGCTGCATTTGCATTGCCTCTCGTGCGGGCGGGCCGGGGCTTGGGACTGGGAGTCATTGACATGGTCTTCATCGTTGTCGTTGTCGTCGTCGCCGCCGCCGGCATGACGCTACCACGGCATGTTTTGATGGACTGCTAGCAGAGCGGCGTCTCGTATCCCTCCTCTCGCCTCACATGTTTGGGCGGCCGATGGAGAGAAGTCGGCTTGACACGGTTTGCGGGGGGGTCGACCTGTCGGGCGGCGGTCAGTTCGATTAGGGCGAGGATCTAGCATATGCCGTGCTGGGCGGCGGTGGCTGTCAACGCTGGAGTGAACGAGCTCGGACGACACGACGGGCTGACCTGCATTGTTAGTTGCAAAAGAAGCAGAGTTCAGGAGAGGCCACGGGCATGAATGACTGACCCTGCCCTGCCCTAGCGGATCGATGCTCTGCGCTGTGCTGCACCTCCGAAGTCTAGTCGGTGGGGAGAAGACCGGTCGATGATCCGAATCGGTGCTGCTGCTGCTGCTGCTGCTGGCCGGCTGGTACAGTGAGTGGCGCCTTGGACTGTCACCCGGTCTGTTCCCGAGGGAGAAGCAGAGAGAGGATGGCGAATGGGAGGCGTGATTCGGCATGTTCCATGGCGGTGCACCGCAATGCGTCTTGGCTTGCTTGAGTGAGGCAAAGAGGAAACATGGGCCTTGCAAGGGCAGGGAAATTCACTCGAGTGTCTCTGTCTCTGTCTCTGTCTCTGTCATTCTGTGTCTCTCTCCTTGTCTCTCTCTCGCGTCCCACCTTGGCCCATTCTCTCTCGATCCTTCCACCAAACTTCCATTCTCATGATACATGCCTTCCTTCCTTCCTCCTAATCCCAGACAGCGGAGGAAGTGCATCGCGTCCGCACCTTCCACATGCCTGCCCGCCCACGCACCCACCAACCAACCAACCAACCAACCAACCAACCAACTGACTGACTGACTGACTGTGCGTCCCAAGCAGCATAGCAGGAAAGAGAAAAAAAGAAGGAAGGATGGAAGGAAGGAAGGAAGGAAGGAAGGAAGGAAGGAACCTTGATGAACGGCCCTTCCTGTCGGCCCACATGTGCCGTTGATATCGGCATCGGCTATTACCTACGGATACCTATGTACATAGGTACGTATACCCACGGATTGGTCGCCCGCGAAATTGGTACCTAAGCGATCTGCAACTCTGCGGCTGTGGCACGTGAGAGAGAGGCAGCAGGACCTACTTGATTGCACGCTATTTTAACGTGCGTGATCCCGTCCCCTTTCCGTCCTGTCAAGCAAGGCAAGGACGACGTCAAACCTTTCCGTCGATGCCAGTCACCGTTCCGTGGTGCACAGTGCGCCCAACGGACTCGGCTGCTACCTACCTTAGTCCACATCATTAAACTATCTGGACGCTTTAATAGCATGAGACCCACTGTCAGCCGCTGTAGAGATGAGGGGGCCGCCCCGCTGACAACCAGCAACAGATAAGCCGCTAAGCCCGAGGAGGGGAAAGGGAGTGCCCCCTGCGCACTGTACTGTGGAGATGCCGCTACCTGCCTGCCTACTATGTACTTCCCTGATCCTCCCTGCCCGTCTTGCCTGCCAGGGACCCTACCCTGCCACCTGCCTACCTACCCTTGGTTCCTTTCTCTCCCGTACTTCACTCGTCCATCTATCCTGCCTTCCCTTTCCCCAAGTAAGTATTCGTACATCGTAGGTAGGTACGCAAGACTGGTCCAAACGACGAGAACCTTCCCACCTCGACGGTTGAGGTACCTACCCATCTTGGTATCCTGTTGAGTCAGCCATGACAGCTTCTGCCTCTGTCCAAGGCTACCTGCTTTCGGGCCTTACCCCGACGGAGAACACTCCGTTCCGTACCTGACTCTCCGAGATGCCATCGACAGAACAGAGACGCAGCGGGCCTCCTCAAATCTTGCATCTTGAATCAGTATTCCGTCCCGTATTCCTACTTGCTCTCAGATTGTCTGACCTTTCCTTGTACTGAGTACCTAGGTAGAATCGCCGCGCTCGGAAATCGTGGCACAGACCCCCCGTCCCTATACGGGAGACGTCTGTGTCTGCCTGCCACACATGTTCGTACACTCCAAGTACCACCCATGCATCCATCCATCTCAGCTAGTCGCCCATTCGAGGTATCCATTCGACAGGCGTCGGCCACTACACACACATACACACACACCACCGTCCGTCCGTCCGTCCGTCCGTCCCCCGTTGTCGTTGTCAAATCGATTGACTTTGCATATCCTTCGGACCCGGAGCCCGCCCCGACAACATGCCGAGGCCTACGCTTGTTCTCTCTTGATTTCCCGTTCCTCTTTTACGTCATTGCCTGCTTCCTCCGCGCCTCGCTTTCGTCCTCAGCTCCGGTTTTGGTCGACGGCCATCGTCCAAGTTTCTATGCTCCCAACACCGAACGACCGATTTCGCCCAGGAATACTTCCGGCAAATGTCGGACCAGATAAGCCCTGTGCCATGGGGGGGGGGGGGGGGGGGCACTCCCACCTGCGCGCCAGAATGTACTGTAGGATCGCATGAATCCGCCAATGGTCCCCTCCATGCATGCATGCACGCACGAATATTGTTGACGATGGGTAGCACCGGCCGGTGAGATTGGGTTTCAAAGTCGGACTGAACCCGCTCCTCATGAGGTTGCCACAGTTTCAAGCCTCGGCGGATTATGGCTGCGTCCAGACGTCTTTGGCTGCAATTCTCCAAGCCTCCAGCAGCAGAAGCAGCGCTGTTGCCTCACGTGCTCGAATCCGAACCACCTGCCTCGTCTTGTGCCGCCTGCTGCCGATCCAGCAGATCTCGGTTTCTTTTGGAACCATATTCAGCCGGCAATACGATTATCCACTTTCACCCTTGCTCCGGTCACCAAGCCTGGGACGCCTTATCCTGTCGACCATCTTTACGATACATAATTAGTACGGATACATCGCCCGCCCAAGTCGGCAACAGCCTCGCGCTATTTAACCTCCCCCCCGGAGTCTCCGTTCGGGGGGAGGACAGGCTTGCCTGCGGCGGCGTTACACGGATTGGCTCCGGCGCGTTGCTTTTGGTGATCCACTGACTAATTACCTACCAGAACGACCCCTGATGTGACAACATACTCCAAGTGCCATGCATCTTGACCGAGGTTGAGGTTGGCTTCCCCAGAGTTGCTCAAGAAAAGAAATCTAACATATCTTCTATAGTGGATAGGTAAACCCCATCTTCGCCTGTGTCAAGTGAAGCCAAGCCTGGCATGTCTTGCGACTCGTTGGTCTCGATAATTGGTGCGGTGGTCCAAGCAGTGCTAGTGTGCCATCCGCTATCGGCAAAAACGCTCACGTTGGACGGCATAATGCGCCGAGCCGTTTGTTCTGGAGTCCAAGCGGGGAGGGGTCGTATCCGTAGTGGTTCTCGCTGAGCTTGAGCCCCTATCCGGCTCTGCTCTCGTTGCGGACATAACCTGGTGCGTGCCCCCCCACGCTGGTGTTATTGAAGTTTGCTCGCATATCGATTGTCCTCTTTATTGGGACTAATCTGACAAATATCCGTAAGCATTCCCAAGCATCCGTACACTGAGCGTGATCACCAAAATCTCCGCGAGTGCCGTTTTCCGACGCGTTAGTACATCGCAGCCGTCCTCGCTGACCAAGCTGCGAGGAGCGAGAGCCCCAAAGTCCCTGGCCATGGGTTAAGGCCTGACGACATTCATTTCCCATCCACTAGACCTCCCGCTAGTCGTTTGTGCTTGCGAAGCTAGTAAATGCCCGTCGCGGTTGCGAACATAGGGCCCGTAACCCACAGCCTACCCGCTGCAACTCATGGACACCCCCCCGGTCCCACGACGGGTCATGCTCACAAGCGCCACACAGCTCTCCGCGCCGCCTAGGGGTTGCTCCCAAAGTGATCAACAGGTATGGCATCGAGCCGACTGGGCCTGTAAACTTCTCGTCATTTGCGTGCAACATATCAGGCCGGAGATTATGGCAATGGAATGTGGTATTGGATCTTTCTGATATCCAGACCTGGATCGCAGCCGCAGTCATCATAATTGCCGACAGTCAGAAGAAGGTTATGAAGGCCGATATCTCCCGACACGCAAGATGACGAATTACATGCCGAGCTACTACGATCGAGGTTCGCCAAATATACGGAGTATATATGTATATACATATATAAGCGCCCCAGCGCCACATCTGGCGCTGGGACAGAGGGCATGCAGTATTTACTTATTCGTCTGGGGGTTGAGACTTGTGGCTGAGACATGTATGCAGCTCGTGCTGGGCGAGGGCCACTTGACTGGCCTCCAGGCATCCCCCGTCCAGTGGTAACCCGATAGCGTGCTGTCGGGTTACCCAACATGGCATTCCAGCGCGTCGGAGTCAGTGTCCGTCAAGGCATGCTCGACTTCGACTGACAGCCAAAGGCTCATCCAACCCAGCTCAGCCTGGCCCATGATGTCCATCTCATATTGGGGGCGGGCTTCTTAGGGACGTCATGGGTTGAACCCATATCGCCCTCCCAAGTCTGCGCGCCACGACCTCTCGTCATAGATTTCACGTCCCCTTCTAGTACAAGAGGTAAAGTGCGCCAAGGCATAATGAAGCGACGCCAATCGCCTCATTCCCGGTTGTGGCTATGGGTAGTGAACAGTGGTTTGTCAAACTGGGCATTGCATCTTCTTGTTGACCGTTAACGCGACGGGAGGGGGGATCCATACCAGCCAACGTCCTAGCACCCCCCGATAAACAGTGAGTCCGACCGTCCGGGGGGAAGGTTTGGCCCATTGTTCGATCTAGCTATTCCCCTTCATCATTTTGACTTTCGAGACGGTGCGTGCCGTCGACGGCTGGTCTCCACAGGTATTGGATCACCACTAGCGTGCCCGCCTGCCCGCCCGCCCGTCCGTTCGCCTTTCAACCAGAACATCGCTCGGTATGGATCATGGTTGATTACTTTACTCGCTATAAGATTCGCTTTCCAACTTCATGCCTTCTCCGATATTACTACAACCGTGGCGTTCCAAGGCTAGGCTGCAGGGCCAGCGTTGCAGTTGGTGCAACGAGGGTCCGTTGAAACCCGCATCAAATGTTACTGATCCATCATCCCACAGGGCTCATATAATCATCATTAACTCCTGTGTCCCTATATGGACCGCCAAAAGAAGACTCATGCTGCCAAACACAGAACACATACTGTACGTCAGCTGCTGGACAGCCCCCATTGTAACCTCAGTCGGACTCGCAAGCGGAACTACAACTACACTATCCCATCTTACACAACGGAACACCATTTTTTACTGTAGTCAACCCTAGATCCATGGTCCAGTGGCAGGATCCTGGGCTATGCCTGTCATGAATAAGACAGTCTAACTTCAGAACTCTTAGCGTGGAGGTTCGTATAGCAATTGCAAGTACTCGAGGGTACTTTACACGACCCCCACCAACATTAAGCCCTCGTGCTTCATTGGTGCGCATTCGATTCGTTTGCGACTCACCTTCCTTGCCCTTGGCCCATTTTGTGACTGGACTTGAGCTGTGGGGTTCTGACCCTCATTCCTGCTCAGCAGGACTCTTGACCGTGGTTCGCTGCTCGGCCTCCTTGTGTCTCCATGCTTAGACGAAAGGGGGAGTGGGTTCCTCAAAGAGGACCGGAGACCCTCTATACCGCTGCAGAGCCCGCTGCAGATTCGGGATTTTCGCAGGGAACAAACAAGCGGATGATTCATCTGAGACGATGTTCTCGTCGATTGCTTGAGGTGGCTCTATCACATCAAACCCCCCCCCCCCTTTCTGCGGTAGACTGCATGCCCGAAACCAACGGATCTGTCGCAACACCTTCTGCTCTCGTCGTTCCATTCCGCCGTAGTACCACAACACCACGGGGAGCGCGAACTCGATGTTCCCCACACGAGTCGTGAAAGATCTTCAGAACCCGCCCACGCTTGATGCCTGCCGCTCGCGCCGTCGGGGGGCTCGTACTCCTTGCCCGCATCGCGTCAGAATTTCCGTTGTCCACAACTCCTTTCGTGTGTTCCGCGACTCTCGTAGTATAACTACTGTACATTACCGGTTGTATTTCTGCCTTTGAACCGAAGAATAGGTGCTGGTTCCAGCCAGACGTCCGGTGCTTCAAAAGTTCGGACGTGACCTCACACTGCCAAGTGCCGAGCTTCACTGAGCTCGCTGAAAGGCAAGATGTCAATTTAGCGGAAACACCGTCCGAACTACCCTCGTCAAGGACGCGAGCCGCCGTCACGACCGAGATCAAAACAAATCTTGAACCGATTTCAAACGCACGGAGTAGCAAAGCCCTTTTGGTGGGCACCAGTCACCTTCAGCTTCCATCGACCCACAGGCCCCCCCCCTCCACAGCATCCTTCGTCGCCTCTTCGTTCCCGCTTGTGTCAGGCGATTTGAAAGATTGGGTTGTCCTTGATCGAGCCGATGCTTCTTCGAGTAAGGCGCCGTACGAACCTGCACCTTCTCCGACGGCCTAGTTATCTGCAGCACAGACACTGCGTGCATAGTATTTCCTCCCGAAGCGGAGCTTGTGATGGCGTAATGTTCGGGGGGGGCTGGGGTTGGGCTACCTATCAATCAGCTGGGCCGCCTCCACAGATGTGATTCATGCCAACTTGGTCAGTGACAATCATTCAGCTTTGGCGCCCGATTGCTCGCCATCATCTTTCTCTTGGACAATAGCTCTGATAGATCGACCACTAGCGCACGCCCTGCACTGCGATTAACAGGGCACAGGCATCAAACACCGGCCAACTCATTCCTGGCGTCGCGGACAGGACTGTCCCAGCAAGAAATGGCGGTGTCTGAGCTGCACGGTTCCAATAACCCGAACACGTTGGTTTTGAAGCAGGGAATAGGCCGATTCCAGATCGCCGGGAAAGGGTATCACTTGGAAAACACTTCAACCTCATCGAAACGTCCCCACGATATACAGTCGCGATGGACACAGCGGTCATCAGACGTGACCCGCGATGTACATAGTAGGTTTTGTTCGTTCTTTTCCTCTTTGCACCGCCTCACACTAGGGAATGGACAGACTTCCGGCTTAGTTGGCACTTGCGGTGAAGGCTTCATCCCGGCACTCTCTGAGACTTTTCCGATCGGAAACGGAGGTGTATGCCTAGGACCGCCTCGTGGCCGTCTACAAGCCCGAGTCAATTCTAGCTCGTTGATGAAGGTGGCATCCAAAAGACTAGCCTCTCGTTAGTTCCCAATGCCTAGAACTGCTTCTGAACCTGCACCAGAGCAATATTCTGGTCATCGTTATCAGGGTACTGATGTTGAATACCTGTGAGAACTATCAGAGAGCAGTCGCCGGGAACCCCTCCCTCAAAGCCATTCTGCTCAGCACGTCGACGATATTCAGTCTATATTGCGCAGCGTGTGGCAGATCTCCCGTGGCCTACAGGGCCTAATCTCGATAGCCTGGTCCCACAGCATGTTGACAGCTTATGGCCACGTATCTCAGTGGTTCTTTTCGCCCTGATGCTTGGGTATACCCGGCAGGGAGCTCGCCATTCTACATACCGTAGTGCATAAAACGAGATTCAAAATGGAGCAGGGTTTACATGCATATATGCGTGGGCCGAAGATCGAAGTTTGTGAAGCCAGATCCATTACGTCACTAAAGTGTGATATTCAATACGATGTTTGCGCACCAACTGGTGCCCGGGGGCCCTATACCAGAACTTGACCGCTTGGCTTACAGACGGGATTGCAATCGATGCACATATTTCGTGCATGACCAGTAGGTGGGGCAATGATCAGTGTGAGGCCCAGTGGCTGCCAGTCTTCGGCCTCAAAATCCAGAACAAGATATACCTCCTTGTAACCTTTGACCCGAGAGCGTGGATGATGATAGGCCCGCCTTTTCCCCCCTCGTGTGATGGAGGATGCATGACCTGCACCCATCTGGACGATCAGGTTGGATAGATGTAAATGCCAGGGCATCTGCTCGGATGCAACCTTCAGCCCGGCCAGAATAATTAATGTGCGAACAAACTATACGTTTTCGGAGTTTACTATAAGCGAAATCAAATAAGCAATGGGTTTCAAAGTCATCGACATGATTTTGAGTCAATATGATGGAAGATGTGATTATTTACTTGGCCAAATGGGCGCCCAAGGCATGTGGCAAATGACAAGCGTGTGACATATAACCAAACAATATGTCTGGACGGTGAACTACCCGTCGTGGTTTTAGAGCCTGATCAGTGAAGGACTGAAAGAACCGTCAGCTACTCAAATGAAATCCTATTCTATTCCTGATGCGACAGTCCGCCAGTTGAAAATGGCGTATTCCAGTCCTGAATTAATCTACTTATTGTTCCATTTGGTCTAGTAGGTGATCTGTCATTAACACACCATGGCGACCCGACCAACCCTTCATAGCTAGCACATCTTCTCGTCTAACATTATACCTACCTACTGGCTTTTGAACCAT